AATATGCAAAAGATATTTGATGAGAGAAGCCTAGAGAGCCAAGATTTGAAAGTTTGTGCCGGTCTTGATCACATTAAGACCGACTCAATAGAATTCTAATTCTTCGTTCTTGATTCTTGGTTCTTGGTTCTCAAATCATCATGCCATGTTCCTTCGCCTTGGTTTTGCTCACTTTAACCTTGTTATTGTCACGGCGGTTTGGCATTATCAAAACCTGTCATAAAACGAACACAGTTTAGTACGACGTAGGCGTACACCCGTGTTCCAACAATTTCCCCCTTTTTGATAATGGCAAACAAGACGGGGATATGCATACTAAGGGATATTTGATTTTCAGAGAATTGTGAAAAAGTTCCCCCTTAATTTGTGCTTTTTTTTAAAAAAAAATTAGTCGGATCAAACGGTCTCGTTCCCCCCTTAGTATATGCATAGCCCTTTTCTTCCCCCTTTTGACATTAACAAAAAGATAAAAGATACTTTTATTTATTGATGGGAAATAGCGGAGTACAACAGAAGCATTAAAAAAAACAAGACAATTAAAGGAAAAGAGATAGAAATTCTAGGGGTGTCCTAGTTTTCGTCTTCGGTTTCGTCCTCGTCCTCGTCGACGTCCATCTCATCACCATCAATGGCGTCATCGAACTCGTCGTCATCCGGGGAGCTTGACGGGGCATATGAGGCATCGTCTTCGTCCTCGTCACCGTACACTTGCCCAAAGAACGTGCCATGGTACGGTGGGGGGACGTAGTTAACGCGTTGGAAGTACGCGTTCATGGCGTACCCTTGGCGTTGGACCGCCTCCTCGAGCCGCTCAAGGTAGCCATCCATCCCGCCAACTTTGAGGTGTAGCCGGTTGAGGGAGTCGGCGATGGAGGCGAGGTTGGCTCGGGCCTGGGGTTCGGCTGGGCCAGCGGCAGGGGCAGTGCGGCGTGGCGCGGCAGTGGCAGGCGCGGCGTTGTCCGACCGCTTGGTGAAGGTTTGGGCTCTTATCGTCCAAAGCTTCGTGGCCTTCGTGAGCGGGCCAACGATGGTGGTTACCTTGAACCGTTCAAGGATGTCCATCACCAAAAACGGGTACGGGAGGAGGTGATCGTGGTCGGTGGACGCGGCGATCGTCATGTTGATCATGAAAAACTTCGCCCAATTGATTGGGGCCGAGTGCATGATCGCGTGGACGAGCTTGAGGTCCTCTCCGGACATGATTGTGTGGCCGTGCTTCCGGGGTTTAATGATCCGGGACACGATGTAGAGAACGAGACGGCCTTCGGGGTTAGCGGAGTGGATGGTGGGGCGGCCTGAGGCATGGCGTATGAGCTCGGTGATGCCAAGCTCGTTGAGGATAAGGCCCTCGTTGTTGAGCACCCAGTCCTCTCCGCCATAGTGAGAGACATCGTCGCCTTGGAAGGGAAGGCCGGCGATGCGCCCAAGCTGCTCTATAGTGAGCTCAATCGGCGTGGACTTGACGAGGCTGTAGATGACGTCGTCCTCACGCCGGAGGTTGGAGTAGAAGGCCCGGATCAGCGCCGGGTTGATCTCCTTCCGCGCCCGGGAGACGAACGGCCAAAGGCCGGCTTGATGAAGCTGTGCGTCTAGGTCGTCGTAACCCTGCAACTCCGGGTAGCGCTCCGGGATGATTCGCGGGGGAGCCACAACCCGTTTAGAGAAGAAGGTGAGGAAACGGGTGCGTTCCTCCTCGGAATCAAACCAGAGGTATGACCCGTCGTCGTAGTAAAGGCGTTCCTCGGAGGATGTCGTAGGCGCCCGGGATTTGGACTTTGATTTCCCGGAGGTTCCTGCCCTGCCCTTATCTTTGCCCATGGTGAAGAAATCTCAAAAAATTAGAGTAGAGAAGATGAAATATGTAGAGATATTGAAGGAATTTGTGTTTGTGTGTGTAAAAGTGAAGAGAGGGGGTCCCAATATATAGAAAAGAGGGTCCCCAACGACCAGATTTTCAAAAATATGGCTGTTGGAGCAATTAATGCAGTTGCAACGGAAACTTTTTTTTGAAAAATTTATCCAGAACAGCGATGTTCCAAAGGCTACATCGCTGTTGGGACAGCGCTGTTGAGCCTCTAGACAGCGCTGGTTTGCGTCAAGTTTTAAAAACAAGTGTTAAATGGACAGCGATGTTGGGAATCCTACAGCGCTGTTCCCAAAGTTTCTGGAAATATGTACGGGGTTGAACCCATTAGAACAGCGTTGTTGGGTGTTTCTACAACGCTGTTTTACGATAGAGAAAAAATTTGTAAAAATGGACATCGATGTTGAAAGTGAGACATCGCTGTTTGAAAAGTTTCTGGTTTTGGTGGAAAACAAGGTGTTTTGGGTAGACAGCGATGTTTTTGAAAGGAACATCGATGTTCAAAAAGTTTTTGGAAAGTGAAGAGTAAGGGACTCCCTGGGACAGCGCTGTTGGCTTGTTGTACAGCGCTGTTGGCACAAACTGGTTGACGGTGTTTCTCTCAACAGCGCTGTTGGGTCTCCTGGACAGCGCTGTTTGCATGGTTCCCCCTGATTTCATGAACGGGGTACCTGCAAAAAAAAGAAAAAGTTCTCCGACGCTCAAGTTAGTAAACGTTTAATAAATTTAGATGCACAACTTAGATCATCGTGGAGTCAAGGATTCCGAGTTCACTTCGAATGCGGAAGAACGACTCTTTCTCTAAAGGTTTTGTGAAAATGTCAGCTAATTGGTTGTGTGTTTCAACAAACTCAATTTCGACATCACCTTTGAGAACATGATCTCTAATGAAATGATGCCTAATGTCAATGTGTTTCGTCCTTGAGTGAAGAACGGGGTTCTTCGTCAAGCTTATGGCGCTAGTATTATCACAACAAAGAGGGACGTGATTGATACTAAGGCCATAGTCCACGAGTTGTTGCTTCATCCAAAGGATTTGAGCACAACAACTACCNCATGGTCGCTTCTTATGGCTACTATGGTTGTGTCTTTTTCATTTTGAACTTTCTTTAGAAAATTTTTGAAGACATGAAATGCTTCACTTTTATGAGTAAGAAACAAGGTCCATGTAAACCTAGAGTAGTCATCGACAATCACAAACGCAAAGTAGTTGCCACCAAAACTTTTCGTTCTAGAAGGACCAAAGAGATCCATGTGCAAAAGTTGAAGCGGTCTAGACGTTGAACAACGTTTTTAGACTTAAACGAAGCCCGAACTTGCTTCCCCTTTTGACACGCATCACATATGGTGTCTTTTTCAAACTTAAGTTTTGGAATGCCAATTACTAAGTCTTGTGAAACCAATTTATTCAAAAGGTTCATGTTCATATGAGCTACCCTTCGGTGCCATAACCAAGTGTCTTCCTCTTTACTCATGAGGCACTTAGCAAAGCCGGAGAGAGATTTGTCTAAGTTAACCATATAAATGTTATCGATTCTATCACCACGTAGAATGACCTTATTGTCACTAAGGCGTTCTACCGTGCATGATTTTGAATCGAAAGTTACACGGTTTCCCTTGTCACATAATTGACTTATGCTCAAGAGATTGTTTTTAAGACCTTTAACAAGCAAGACATTATCTATAGAGGAGTTTTCAGATTTACCTACTGAACCAACGCCAATGATCTTTCCCTTGCTGTTATCTCCAAAAACTACGTTTCCTCCTTTAGCGGGTTTGATTTGGAGAAACTTGGATGCATCCCCGGTCATGTGCTATGAGCATCCGCTATCAAGGTACCAAAGTACACTTGATGCCTTCAAGCACACCTATGAATCACATCAATGAGTTTTAGGTACCCAATTTACGTTGGGTCCTCGTGTGTTAGGTGTGTGATGGTAGTGTGCTTGATTTTGTAATAGATGCCTATGCCTAGTGTAACAAACGGGAGCAATATGGCCTATCCTATTGCAATAATGGCAAACTACGTTGGGGTTGTACATATGCCTAGGTTCATAATAGTTCGAAGGCTTAACCATTTTGTTCCTATTTTGTGAAAACGATGGTTTTTGGAAATTTTGAAACTGGCCTTTTCTAGGTGCTCTAGCATTATTTCTTCTAATTTGAGAAAATTCATTTTTATGCACAAAATCATTTTTCTTAGGTTGTCTACCATGACCATTTTCATTCCTAGGTTTTAGTCTAGGTTGTCTAGTGTCCTTAGGTTGACTAGGTTTTCTATTATCTTGATTTTTAGGTTTCTTATGTTGAACCTTAGATGATTGTCTAGGTGGTGGCTCAACA